TGAGAGAAGTCTTTGGGGGGGGGGGTATGTCAACACAACTGAAATTTGGAGAAAACTGAATTTGTTTTAACTTTTACAGCGCTTTATTATTTTTGTACTTTTTACACCCACCCATTTCATTGTTCACCTGCCTCCGATTAAGTTGTTTAAACAAATGTGTTGCAATGGTAGAAAAAAAAATGTCTGAAAACTGAGGGTACTTTAAAAAATTTTTATAAGGGGTACTTTATAGAAAAGGGTTGAGAAACACTGATCCAGATCACTAGGTACCAATGACTTGTCCATTCCAATCTTATTACTCTCCCAATCTTTGTCATCTCCAAATTTTATCAGTTAATTTTTTTCAGGTCATTGATAAAATGTTTAAAGCGGCAGCGTGACATGAAGCCCAGGGTCAGTGGGGGACTCTGAATCCCCCGCTGACCCTGGACTCCATGAGGGTGCTTCTGCTTAGAAATGCACAAGAGCGCCCGCTGGGGCTCTTGCACATTTCAAAGAAGGAATGCAGAAGTGCCTAGCGACTAGTTGATGGAAATTCCATCGACTACTTGACTAGTCAATTAACGGATATTTAACATCCTGAATTCAAACAGCTGCTTTCAGTGACATGCTCTTGCCATCCAGCAACAAACTCCCAGGCAATGCCACTCTGCCCCCCCACCCCAGCCTCCTACTCTCTGGGACCATGTCTACACTGGGGAGTTATTTTGACAGAACAAGCAGAGCATCCACACTACCAAGCCCGTTATTTCAAACTAATAACTCCTGCTTGCCTTGGGGTTCAGGCAGGGTCGACTTATCCATTAGGCACAGTAGGCACCGTGCCTAGGGCCCACGATACTTTTAGGGGCCCACAAAAATGTTTTAATTTCTTTTAACATCAGAAGGACAAAAATGAACTTTTAGGGTCAAAGAAAATGTTTTAATTTTTTCTCACATCAGAAAAACATGAAACTTTTAGGGCCCATGAAAATCTATTAAATTTTGCCTAACAGAAAAAAAATTAAATGTTGAAGTATTTAAAGTTATATCAAAAATAATTTTTAATATTGATATTATTATGGTGAGAGGAGCCCACGAAGGCATAAGTACCTTGTGCCCACGAAACTTGTAGGGCCTACAAAAATGTCTTATTTTTTCTTAAATAAGAAAAAATTAAAATGTCGTAGTAATAGCCTCACTTAGCCTCAGCGCAGTTTACTTCTTGCAATAAGCGAGATACATACTTCGACTGTGTTGGTATAAAGACGAATATAATCCAGCCTGGATTATATTCGTCTTTATGCCAACACAATCATAAAATATAATTTGTAATTTTTTTTTAAATGGAGGAAGGGGCCCACGAAGGTAAAAGTGCCTAGGGCCCACAAAAGTCATAATGCGGCCCTGTATTCAGGGCTCTGGCCCCGCCAGGATAACGTGACTGGGAGCCATGAATCATTTAAATAGATCCTGCTGCCTGAGCCACTGCCTGGAAATTCAGTGGCACAAGCAGGCAGCAGGATAGAAACGGAAAGCAGCCAGATGCAGTCTATGGGCCCAGCCCTGTTTTAAGTGCCGAGCAAAGTGAACATCAGACCCCTTTAAGCTGGCTCCCATTGGGCCCATGGAAACCAGGGCACTAAACATCTTCTTGTTCAAAGCATAAGCCACGGATGTCTCATTGGTTTAGCTCCAGTGGTGCGTTTTGGGGGCTTGGTATTTTCCACTCACTCCATACCCTGGCCTACCACACAGGGCTTGCCTAAACCTGCCCTCCCCATCCTGGCCTTCCCCTCACCATCATCTTCCATGCTGGCTGGGGCGGGTCTGGCGCAGACGGAGTGGAGCAGTGCGGGGCTCGTACGTGTGTGGTACAAGGCGTGCGAGTACGTGCATGAGCTTTTATTTGAAAACTAGGAAATGAAACATCCAAATTGATGCTAAAAATGTGGGGACACACTCAGCAATCAAGGAATGACCCGGGTGCGGTTGTGTGACACAAAGGATCGACACCAAGGAAAAATGTACATTTGTGCCCTAAGGGGAATCACCATTTATTAAGTGCCAGGTGACAGAAGACGCGGTCCCTGCCCCCAAAGAGCTCACAGTCTAAACAGCCAACACAAACACAGCTAGCCGAACCCACAGCTTACACTGGGGGCGGGGGAAGAGAGACAGGGAAAACTACAGCAAGGAGGTGGCAGACCAATGCAAAACACAACAGAAGCTGCCTCCAGCCCTGTCCGGGGCAGGGGCAGCTCTCCAGCCCAAAGAAACCTGGGTGTGGGTCAGAATGGAGGAACTGAAAAAAGACTGGCCCCAGATAGGACCCAGAGGGGAGTGATGGGGGATTTGAGAGCAGCCTTCAACTCCCTGAAGGGGGTTCCAAAGAGGATGGAGAGAGGCTGTTCTCGGTGGTGGCAGATGGCAGAACGAGGAGCAATGGTCTCAAGTTGCAGTGGGGGAGGTCTAGGTTGGATATTAGGAAAAATGATTTCCCTAGGCGGGTGGGGCAGCACTGGGATGGGTTCCAGAGGGAGGGGGTGGAATCTCCATCCCTGGAGGTTGTGAATTTCCAGCTGAACAAAGCCCTGGCTGGGATGACTGAGTTGGGGTTGGTCCTGCCTTGGGCAGGGGGCTGGACTCCGTCTGCCCACCTGGGATTCTACCAAGTCACTGCCAGTTCATCCCTCCGAACTCCGGAAAGCCCCGTTCGTGGGGCCGCTTCCCAACTTCCCCTTTCAGGCAGATGGTAACTAACACCACCACAACGGGCTTCCCCCAGCACAAAAGCCACCTGACCAGCCTATTGCAGCAGGCTGGGGCAAGTCACATCGGAATCAGTCCTGAGCCTGTGGACTGTTTTAATCATCCCCCCTGGGCAAAGCCAAATCACACCCAGACCAGGCTCTTTCTACCACCAACCTTCTCCACCTGGCACTGCAGCAGGTGAGAGGCAGCATTTCCCAGTGGTTAGGAACCTGGGGTGTCATTTAGCCCATGCCTCAGTTTCCCCACCGCTGCCCTACCTCCCAGAATGTCGTGAAAACCTCATTCCATTGACTCTCCGACCCACCAAGCTCCTCCCTCCTGCCCTCATTTCTCCTCTTCTCTCTGTTTTATCCCACTCACCTTGGTCCTTCTCCCAGGTGCCTTCTGCTCTCGGGCAACGCAGGCAGTGTGGGAGCCATGCCTGGCTCGGTAGTGCTGCACCAGGCCCCGTCTCACTGAAAAGGCCTCGCGATGGGGTGGAGAAGGAGGCAAGGCACATGGGCTTGAGACACACGGATCCCTTGGGGCCACAGGGCCCCCCAGGTCGGATGCACTCGTCAGAGCTCACCGAAGGGCGGTCGCCGTCATCACTGCACGGCCTATGCCCGGAGAACAGTCACGGCGAGATGAAAATTACCTGGAGAGTCTTGAAGGGACGGCGGGTCTCCAGGAGGGGACCCATCTCAGAAGGGCCGTTTTCAGCCAGGAGGGAGCAGACACCTCTCTCCCTGAACTGCACCCGGCCGGCCCGTCTGCGTACTGAGCTGCGGGAGAATGGAAACGCCCTCTCCCGTGGGTTTCACACAACACAAAGAATACAGACAAAGGATGGGACTGACAGAGGTTGGGGGCAAAAAGACCGGCAGCCTGGCAGCGGACTAGGGGTTTGAAATGTGGCAAGGATATTGGGGGAGGGCAGTCCCTGGGAATGAAAACAAGGTCCTAGAACATGGCTTCTGATTTTCTTTTAGCTGGAACCAGCTGCTACTGCTTGAGGCCCTGTGCTTGGTTAAATAGCCTTAGCCTGGCTTTCACGCTACGCCAAGCAACAGGCTGGGTGGGAGGCAGAGCTGTGACCTGAGGGGGAACTGGGGAACGGGGCAGCGG